AAAAAAAAAATGTATAAAATAATATTTTGTCTAGTAGAAAAATTAAAAATAAATTTCCTAGTCACTAAATAATAATTTATATGTATATTTAGTTATAAAATAAATAATCGATAACGACGTAAACTTAATCGCTCTTACTGTGTCAGTCGATTATCGACATACCACTTGCTTCAAATATATCCAATAACTTCGGTTGACATCAAAGGTTCGTTTTCAGTCTTTAAAAATATGTTAACCGATAAACGACATAGCATCACAGAAGATAAATATATGATTATTTATTTTAAAAATAAATTAAGTTCAGAAAATTCCCTAAATTTTTTTGTATTAAGTATTTAAGTAAATCATTTTTATAAGTTGAATTATAAATTTTAAATAAATAAAAAATTCTTGCATATTTTTTGCATATTTTCATAATTTTGACTTCATATTTTTTGCATATTTTCATTATTTTTACTGCATATTATATGCCATATTTCGATACTTTTAAGTGCATAAAAATCCGCGCTCTAGTTATAATGTTTTCAAGATTTTCAAAGGCCGCGGGTTTTCGATATCAACATGGTAGTGGTATCTAGCTCTTGGTGGAACTTCGGATAGCAGATAAATATACATAAGTTATGCAATGCTGTACATATGTATTTAAAAGGCTATGGGGAAAAACCATAGTATTCATAAAAAATAAAAATAATTGATAATTTTATCATTTTGTGTATTTTATCGTAACTAGTGTACAACTTTTTTCTGCGGTAAATCAAAAAATATATTTAAACTCATACCGCCATAACATTATTTTCGACTACCTATTTTAGATTCAAGTGGTTACGTGTTGAAATTTCCAATGGTGCGTACTTACTATATTATTTGTTTAGATTTATTACATAATATGGATCTGGCGCGATGTGTGTGTATTGTCAACAAGTTAAGTTAAGTTAAGTTAGACTACCTAAACAAATATTATTCGTTCACTAAATAAATCTATTATTTACAGTACGAAAAATCGTCAACACAGTACATAATAGCTAGTTTCTGTTAAACCGAAAATGAACATCTTTCGCTATTGTAATTATTTAGTATGATAAATATAACTTCAAAGTTCATTAGAATTATTTATTTTTAAAAACCATTTTCCATGCAGTATAGTTTTATTATTTTTTCTTTCTATTTTATATTCTATGATCCGTCGATTAAATTAATATAAAGAGTGTTTTTTTTTCTTTGACATTTATTGAGGTAATATTCCAATGAAAAATTTAAAGTACCTACTAAAATAAACAAAAAGCATTAAAATGTACTACCATATATCTTTCTTGTAATAATAATAATAATAATAATAATAAATATAATAGTTATTATAACAATAATCATAATAACACAATGAAATAAATCATTTGTTAATATTTTTCATCATGCAAACATTATGGTGCCGCTTTACGTTTATACCAGTATTTATTTAATATTTACTTTGAGTTCTTAAATCTTTCGATTTGTGATTAATAATTATAATAATGGTATAATAATATACCTAGAATGGTTGTACAATTTCACGATTTTACATGTAGCTTATCATTATTTATATTGACAAAAATAAATTATTTTTATCTCCAACAAGTCAAACATATAAATAAAAAATAATAATAATAAAATAAATATATAAAAATTTGGAAAAATACACGGAGCACGATAATTTTTAAAAATATATAAAAAAATGACTACTTAAATCTAATAGGTTTATGTTCCCTGATCTACGAGTACTAACAGTTTTTAGACTATCGCTTCGACCATCGATTATATTCTAACACTATAATCAATGCTTCAACCATATGATAGAAGAATATGTATTTTAAATAACTATTTATATGTATATGTATATTTATAAAAAAGATACTCGTGTCTTTTTAAGTAGGTATATTACATTTTACAGTGATAAATCTAGGCTATACATTTTAAAACTCTTTTGAGAAAACATTTTCAAATCATTTCACCATATGAATAATCGCTATACTTATTTATTAATGGTTTAATAGAATACAAACTATTGTAAAGTTGACCTCAAATAGTTGAGAGATAGGCGAAAAAGAAGAAAAATAATATAATACAAACTATATCACATACATAAAAAGATTTAACGAAGTAGATTTGGTAAACGATGCCGTTACTGTCATATATTTTATTTTAGTTTTTTATTTTTCAAATCGAAAGACAAACATCAACATTAAAAATAACAACTATTATAATTATGCTCCAATCACGTACGTACGTGTTTAACAAACTATATTTTAATCGATCGCCAACGACGTCAACAATTATAAAAGTATTTTTATTTTATTTTATTTACTTATTTATTTTCTGTTCATGAGTTTATGTACAAGTTTTCAACTATGTATCATTTTATTAATGGATACACTACGGAATTTCTGCATAATTATTTATGATCAAACCTTCTAATGCACAACGCGATCAATCATATTGTAGGTGCGCGTGTGTGTAATAATGTTGTGTATTGTCGAGGAACAAGTTTTAGTATCGATAAATTTGTGGTTACATGAACAGACATTTAAAATCTGAAAATGAACGAATAAGTAGAAAATGAAAAACCCAGAACACCGACCGATTTCAATAGAACTATCTTATAACTTATAACTTATAATTATTGTACAGTACCGGTAACGTTCTGAAGATTACTGCACGGCCAGTTCAAAACCCGAAAATAGGGAGTTGATAGTCAAAGTTTTACGTCCTTCGGACAGTCGATTGTATACGTGTATGTGTACGCGCCGACTTAGGTTCGTTATGTAAATCGCAATTGGCGTAATTTCAGTTTTTTCTAGGGTAGGGCTACTCTTATTAAATTGCCGGATCGACGGCCCATTTTACCAAGGTACCAGGTAAATAGTGGGGTAAGGGAAATGTGAAGCCGGTCAAAAAACATGTACTTTGTACACAATCACCCCTACAGCAGGCGTCTCATTTTCCTTATTTACAACAAGTGAATGGCTTTGTAAAATACCTATTGTTTTTATTTTGATGATGTGCCGATTTTGGAATAGCTTAACTCTAGACTACGGTGGATAATATGAATTCCCCCCCCTCAAAAAAATAAAAATAAACGACGCACCACTGTTTTAAATCGCAGTGATCGTACGCGGTAAACGAGGCATGCATTCGCACCCTAGAGTTATATGATAATCACCGTTTGTAAAACGGTCTATTAAAAACCGTTACTAACCTACCTTTGCCGTAATTATCGATATGCCTCGGATTCTGATTCGAGTGCGAAGAATGTTCACTGGGATCGAGATGATCTATTATTTCCACCCTTTTTCTTTTCTACAAGCACTTTCGCGTGCAGAAACTTTATGGATTAGAATAATTGAAATGAACAGTTTTTCCATTTCTTCGGTAGTTTTTTTTTTTCCACCCGCGTAACAGAGTACTCGCAGAGTGAAAACTTGAAAATAATGTGAAATTTCGTTCCACGACGGTTTATACGTACATTTTCCTCGGAAAAATTTAAATAAAATTTACTTATTGTAAACGATGCATTCGGCCACAGTAGTGACATATTTAAATCGCGACCGAGTCGATATTTTCGCGAATACCGACGTATACATTTTCCATTATTTTAAATCTAAATTTCATAAATAAAACTCTATAAATTGTGTTCAAAGACGAAACGTGACAGTTTATAAAAATACGTATGCCTCCTAAGTCGAGTGGTGTGACTCCTTGTAGTTTTTTTTTTAAATCAAATACGCACGATCAGAGGTATGCAGTATTATTATATTTTTTTCTTCTTCAAGCGAGATTGTGGTGGTTTTTTTCTCTCAAATCCATTAACTTTGACGTCAAGAAACCAATAACCATTGTATATTAAATTAGTGCGCCAGTATTCAAATATTATGACAGTTTACCGTTAGGGTTTGTTGATAAATATCTTTGATTATTAAGACCCTTCCATCTTCTTGGACAATTTATCAAGCCGGCATTTAATTCGACTATATGTATCGCGTGGCCTTCAGTTCAATAGCTTAGGATTATTTATGGGTGAAGTATCAACCAAAAGAGCCAGTCCATCTACAGCTTTTTCTTTTACCGTAAATCCTTTTTGAGCTGAAATTCAACACAGTTCCCCCTATTGAGAAACCATTGGAGCATATTCTTTTATAAAAGTCCATTTGCTATAACGTACATTTACGGTACGTTCCAAAAAAAAAAAGGATTCAAACTTCGCTACGTTATTGTTGTATCATTACTACAGAATGATGGTTTATCACCGAAATTGTGTAATGATATGCTCATACCTACGTGGATGTATAATATATAAGTTGTATTTTTAACCATCTGAAACATTCATTTTGTCGTGTATGCGAGTGTGTGTGTGTGTGTGTGTGTGTGTGTGTGTGTGTGTGTGTGTGTG